GATTGATTGACATTGCTGAGCATGATGTCTTCCACATTGGTCCATGACATGAGCTGCCATCATTATTCTCTAGGGATGCATGGTACATCATTGCATGAACGTACCTCAGTTGATATCTTCATTCCTCCACAGATGGGGCATTTTGGTGGTTTCCATCTTCTTGCTATTGTGGATAGTGTTGCGATAAGCATGAATGTGTCTGTATCTGTTTGTTTCTTTGGGGCACATCCCGAGTAGAGCAATTAGAGTCACATGGCATTTCTAGTGCCATGTAAGGACGTGCCGTACTGCACGATTCTACACAGTGTGAGGGTTGGTTCTCATCTCCCCACATCCTCCCCAGCACTTATTATTTTGTTTTGTTTTTTTAATTTAAATCATTTTATTGGGGGCTCGTACAATTCTTATCACAACCCATGCATCCATCCATTGTGTCAAGCACATATGTACATTTGTTGCCATCATCATTCTCAAAACATTTGCCTTCCACTTGAGCCCTTAATAGCGGCTCCTCATTTCTCCCCGCCCCCCTCATCCCTCCCTCATGAACCCTTCATAATTCATAAAGTAGTATTATTCCATTATATGTTACACTGTCTATTTCTGTTTTTAAAATTTTTGCTATCAGTGCTGGGTAGGTGGTATCTTCTCATTTTATTTTATTTATTGTAATCATTTTATTAGAGGGGTTCTGTATATATATATATATATATATATATATATTTTAAATCATTTTATTAGGGGCTCATACAACTCTTATTTCTTTTTAAGGTACAAAAATTACTCTTAAATATGTTATTATTTTTGCTTTAGATATCATTTGGGAAAACAGCAGGAATTACATTAGTTGTGCTTTGCAAAATAGTTGTTGTTCGGTGCCATTGAGTCAGTTCCAACCCATAGCGACCTTGTGCACAGCAGAAGGACACATCCTCACAGTTGTTCCTGTGCCTGAGAGGCTTGTTGCAGCCACTGTGTCAAGCCTTCTTGTTGAAGGTCTTCCTCTGTTTTCCTGTCCCTTTACTTTACCAAACTTGATGTCCTTCTCCAGGGACTGGTCTCTCCTGACAACAGGTCCAAAGTAGGTAAGACGAAGTCTTGCCTTAGAAAGACCTGGTAGAATGGACTGTGGACCCATCACTGGCTTTGATAATGATGAACTCAAGGCCAATTCTTGGTCATCTACAACCTGCCAATTTCTCCCCGCTGCCCCAGATGGTTTTCAAGCATGCCATACAACATACAACATGCCACTTCATATGTATCTCTAAAAGATAAGGACTCTTTATTTCAAACTTAATTGTACCACCATTATGATATTGGAAAACAACAACAACAACCAGCTACCAATATCTAATGGGGAGAGGTACAGTCTCAGAAACTCAGAGACAATTCAACCCTATCCCATAGGGTTGCTATGAGTCAGAATCAACTCAATGGCAGTGAGGTTTTTTTTTAAAGAGTATCAGATTCTCAAATTTTTTTAGTGATCTTATGCCTTTCTGTGCTGTTTGTTTATTTAAATCATGACCTAAATAAGGTCCATATATTTCAATTAGGCAGTATGTCTTTCAAGGCTTTTAATACATAGATTCTTCTTCATACTTCAGTAAATATTTTCTTCAAACTGTGCATCTAGGAAACAAAGATAAATTCGGATCACACAGAAATCTTTATGCCAGGAATTAAATGGGGAAAAACAAGTGATTAGACTAGATTTTTTCTTGTGGTGATCATGGCTTTAGTTTGCAATTCTTTTATAGCTAATGATCACGAGCATTTCCTTCATAGGATGGTTGGCTCCCTGCATGTCATCTTTGGTGAATTATATATTCATGTCTTCTGCTCATGGTTTAACTGTATTATTTGTGTTTTTCTCATTGTAGTTTTCTATAGATTAGCCCTTTATCCTACATATCTTTGTCAAAATTTCTTTCCCAATCTGTGGGTTCTCTTTTTATTTTTTTAAACTAGTTTTATTGGTATATACTTGACATCATATAATTTAATCATGCAATCATATTAAGAAGAGTTGTGCAATCATCACCACAATCAATTTCAGAACATTTTCTTCTCATACTCATTGTTGTCAGCTCCCCATTTCTCCCTATCATTCCCTGCCGTGCCCGTAGGCCATCAATAATCCAGTTATTGTCTTTATAGATAGATCTACCCAGCCTGGATTTCATATATGGAAAATCATACAAAACACAATCAGGAAGCAACCAAAAAAACCCACACAAACCCCCCCCCCAAAAAAAAAGCCAACAACAACGACAAAACAAAGCAGAAAAATCACAGTGGAAAAGAAATCAGAAAACATTAAAAACTAAAACAACTTGAAAATGGATCAGTAGGGAGATCAAACCATAAGACATTACATTTTTACCTAACTACATCTGCCACCATCGATTTACAATGCTCTTTGTCCCGCAGCAAGGCCATTCTCTTCCCAGAACTATATTCTGAGGGTATTCACCTGACATGCTAACCCACATGAGGAATCTGCATATGGATTTTGGGCTTCCATTGTCCACTCTACCCTTCTCTGCAAACCAGGAGTTCAGAATTTAAGCTCTGATACCATTTCCTCATTCAGATTTGCATTGTATTCTTTAAAATCCTTGGATCACACAGCCTGGTGTGCTTCTTCCATGTGGACTTAGTTGAGGCCTCACTTAGATGGCTGTTTGTTTGAAGACAAGGCCCCAGACACTATTTCTGATAGCCGGGCACCGTCTGGTTCTTTCGCCACACTTCATTGTCTCACTCTTTTGATGTACAAAAATGCCATATTTTAGCAGGTTCTAGGGCTCTTTAAAAAAAAATGACAGTGGGGTGTTTTCATTATATTCAGTAGTGTGTTTATGCCTTGTGTTAGGCCCCTTAAGGTTTTCATTGATGATCTCTATAGTTCTTGGGTTTACATTTAAGTCTTCACTTCACCTCGAGCTCATTCTGTGTGAAGTATGGACCCTGGTTCATTCTTTTGTAGATGGAGATCTGATTTTTCCAGTACCACTTGTTGAAAAGAGTGTCTCTTCTCCATGTAATGTGTTTCAGTCCTTTAGCAAAAACGATGTGTCTTTAGGTACTTAATTTTGTTTCTGAGTTTTCTCTTATGATCCATTGCCCTATGTAGCTATCGTTGTATCAATAGCAAGCTGTTTGGAGTAGCATGGCTATGGAATAGGCTTTGAAATCAGGGAGTGAGAGCCCTCATATTTTGGTTTTGCTGGTTAGTACTGTTTTGCTTATCCTAGATTTCTTTCCCTGTCATATAAAATTGGTGAGTCTTATCAATTTTGTGGTAACATACTTTGAAACTCTGTTATTCGGTACATATATACTTAAGATGGCTATGTCTCTTTGTGGGTTGACCCTTTGATCAGCAGTGTTTTTGTGTGTACGTGATTGATATGGATTTTTAGATTTTTGTGCAGATGAGGACTTCTTTTTCTTGAAAAACATTTTTTTACAAGTTATAATTTTTCTGTTGTTTTGGGCCTGACAGCAAAGGAAGGTCCTGTATAGAAAGAGAAGTTTGCCATTTGAAGCTATTCTAGATCCAGCACAAAGTCTCAATTCCACCACAGCCGAGGCCTCTGTGAGGTGGGGGCTTTCCTAAGAAGCCATTCATGACCTGCAGAAGGAGACAGACCCAGGTGAAAACCACCGCGGGTTCACAGTGGACATTGAAAACAAGGTGTCCGTCTAGAAGAAACAGAGGGTAACGACAGCCAACGGGTACCCAGGAGCTGTGGCTGCCACAGAAAGCCTCTGCTCTCATCTGCCACTCAATCCTTAGACTCCCGTCCCAATTAAAGGAAGGAGAAGCAAGGCTGCCCGACCAAGGCCCCTGCTTTCTTAGGACTCCAGGTGAGTGTCATACCTAAGCTTCACTCAAAACCACAAGTTTTCCCAAAGCACCTGTCCCAGAGTGCTAACTGAGGAGGAGTTATCTTTAGGAAGAAAGCATACTTGAGTAGGTGCCGTGTCACTGGTTTCCAGGGGAAGTGCAGGGTGGGGGAGAGTTCTTGGGATTGCGGCAGCAGCAGGGGCGGGGGTGGGGGGTGGGGGCAGGGAAGCACTGAGCTGAGTCTCGAAGTGCATGAAACAGGGAAGGACACATCAGGAGGCCACCAGGCATGTATGTTTGTGCGGCTTGGGGGTGGAAAGGACGCTGGAAACATGGCCAGACAGATGCTGACCCCTTTGTTAAAGAGCCTGAGGAGGCTTCTTGAAGCCCTGCTCCGTGCCTTACTCACATGCTTACTTGAACACTCATGGCCTCACTCAGGCAGCTCCCAACCCCTCCTGCTGGTTGTGTGTGTGTGTGTGTGTGTGTGTGTGTGTGTGTGTGTGTGTGTGTGAGAGAGAGAGAGAGTGAGTCTCAGCCCCTCAGAGGAGAAAAGGCTGCTCTGCCTCCATCATCTGGGTGTCTAGCCATCACCTATCACCGGGCAGGGACCCTTGCCCTCCCATGTTCACCCACAGGTTCCAGGAGAGAGAGAGACCATTCAGTCCACAGCACATACTGCGCTT